AACTAGGTGAAAAGTTGTCATGAAGTTAGGTCAAAAACCTGCCTAAATTAAGGCAAAATTTCACTAAGTTATTTTAGTTCATGGGCATGTATTCACAAAATTATATCTTGAGATCCAAGCATATTTAGGAAAAAATGTGTGAAGCAAAATTACGTATTTCATGGGGATCTACAACTTTCATGTTGGGAACTTTCTTTGAATCATCTTGTATCATGATGAAAATTTGGCTTAAAGTTGAGAAAAAAATAAGAAACTTTCTATACTTAGAAAAATTTCTAAGTTAAGAAATTTTCAAATTTTAAAACAAAATCTTAAATCTTTGATTCCTTGATGAACAATTTTCATATTTTGACATGTTTTGATGAATTGTGATCCTTGGCATTTGATTTTGACCAAAAAGTCAAAGTTTGACTTTTCAGTATACAATTGACTTTTGATCAGTTGACTGCAAATTTTATCTGTCAATCCAATGAAATTGCAATGTTTTGAACCATGTCAATAGGTCAAGATGATACAATTGAACCCTTGAAATAATGCTTCAAACCAATTGGTCATTTTCTAGGTCAAAAATCAGAAATTGCCCATTCTCAGTCAAAACCCTAATTTTGACCATTTTCCCCTTTTGGTGATTTGATCAAATTTCTTGAGGAATTATGGTCCAAACTTGATCAAATGATACATATGAGTCTAAAATGTTGTTGTGGATAAAAAATTATGAAGTTTGACTGTAAATTAGCCATGGTTGACTTTTTTTCCCAATACAGCTGATTTTAGGTCAATTGTCCAATTGACTTATCAAAAGTGTGATTCAAGGCTTGAAACTTGTCATGAGTAAACTTAGGGGTCCATAATGATACTTTAAAGCCATATGAAACATTGGTAGTCCAAAAATCCTTATGCAATTCCAAACCCTAATTTTGGGTCATCAGGGCATGATGAGATGTCTTGAGCTGGTCAAACCCTAATCCAGTCTTGAGTCAAAGAGATCTTGTGAGAATAATATTGATAAATGAGAGGGCAAATTTTGGGGTACAACACAATGGTATTTTAAGGTTTATGTGTTAAGGGGGAGTGCAAGCTATATTCTTCCTCGTGTGCACCAAATGACTTTGGGACTTTCTACTCTTTTATCCTGAGGTTGTTGTTCTTTGGTGTTGAGTCTGTGTGGAGCTGATATCGAGAATGATGTTCTAACATCATTATGTTGGTGAAGAGATGTTCCTCCATGTTGATATGATCATTATCCCTTTAGACTGAAGACAAGAGTTGATGATTGTAATTTTTGTTATCTGAGTTGTAACTGTTTATTTGTTTTAGCCAAAATTTGTCATAGGGGGAGATTGTTAGTTCTCTATTTTATGGTTGACATTAATTTTAGTAAAACAAATATAGAAACAATATTTTTAATAGGATGTTCTAACATGTCGAGCAAGAAGTCTTATTTTATGTTGAGTTGAGATGTTTCATCAACTGAAGCAACATGCCAAATGAGATGTCCTATGCAGAGTTATTCGACATCTTGATCATGTTGGGCTGGGCTGTTGGATCGGTCTAAGATTTATCTAATGCAAAATATTATAAAAATATTATGCTATCTTAAGTGGCATTCAAATTGAAGATTTAAGAAGAGTCAAGCTGATTTCAAGGAGTTTATTAGTTTCTAATTATGGAGACAATTTAGGAAACTAATGATAAGAAGTTCTATAATTTATGAGATATATCTGCAGCTTTATTTGCTACAGACCAATTGTAATTTTGAAGTCCAATCTAGTCCAAGAGATGGTTACAAATAGAAGGTTATTAACCTAGAAAATGTACTAGCTGAGAATACAAATGTTTAGATTATTAGGACTGAGTCTGTAAGCCACTCTCTAGGAGTTGGTATACGCAAGCCTCTCGAATACAATGTTGGTATGAGAGTAGGACTGATGTTATAGAGTTGTAATTCTATGTTTTTCCTTATTAAGATTTTAATCATATAATGCATATTGTTCTTGGATGAAGCTTTGAAGAAAATCCAAGTGTGGTTTGCTAGTCAAGTGTCTTGACTGAACGTTATGGTTAATAGATATCACTGTGGTGATCTAGAAAGTGGGATGTCAATTTATCATATTTTGGATGTTGCTAGGTAGAAGTTGCATTTGATATGGATTATGCGAGAAGTTGTAAACGAGGGAGTTTAGCTTTGAATTAATACTGTTGATAGTGGACTTCCTTCCTAGCTTATTAGCCACCAGAGTAGGTGTATGTCCACCGAATCGGGTCTTTATCATTCTACATTATTCAAATTTGTTTCTTGATTGATCAACATGTCGTGTAAGATGTTGGAACATATGTCACGACTTCAAACTTATGAGGTTTATATCAATCTGGTGTATTTTGTCCATGTGGTGTTACGCAGAGATCAATGTCTCAACATGTGTTAAGACATTTGTAATCTGTATGCTAGAGTTTCATCTATTAAGCTACCCGCCCCGTATCCGTGACAAATTTTATCTGCAGATATCAGCGGGTACGATTTTTTTTGCCATCCCTAGTCATATTGACCCATTATTAAACCTTGAAATATTTGCTTATAGATGGCAGAGTGGGAACCGTCTGATGAGATCAACAAGCGACTCACGAGTGTTATCTGAGCAGCGAGAGAATAGCTAGCTCTTGTTGATTCTAATTCTTCTGAAGTTCCAAATACTGACTTTGAGGGTTGAGACCCTATATTAAGAGTATAGGCAGAGCGACTCACGTTTATAGAAGACCTTAAGGAAGTCCAACTAGGACCTCGAGCCTATCAAGTTACAAAGATAGGCACATCTTTGTTTACAAGAGTGTTGCAGGAGCTAGTCTACTGAATCAAAAGAAACATCGACTTGTTTGCCTGTGTCCCCTTAGACATGCCAGATATAGACACCAAAGTCGTGAGCCATCACCTCACCATCCATCTATCTGCCAGACCAGTGGCACAAAGGAAGCTGAACAACAGGCGAAGAGATGAAGCTTGCCATTGATGAGGAGGTGGAAAAGTTATCCAATGTCAGATTCACCATTAAGACGAAGTACTCCACCTGGCTGGCCAACATAGTCCTGGTTCGAAGAGCTAACAATAAATGACGAATGCGCGTAGACTTCACATATCTGAATGTCGCATGCCCAAGGACCCGTACTTGTTGACGGATATAGACCGCTTAATCGAAGGATCCTCTGGCTACCACGTGCTAAGTTTCATGAGCGCATACTCAGGATACAACCAAGTCAAGATGGATCTCCTGGGTGCCCCAAAAATCTCCTTCATGTCGATTCAGGGCAATTACTACTACAATGTCACGCCCTTCAGCCAAAAAAACAACGACGCCACATGCCCATCAAATTAGGCGAAACCTTGAGGTATACATTAGCAACATGATTCTCAAGACAACAGAGAGCACAATCACGCCAACAAACTAAAGGACATCTTACAATCAGGAAGAAAGTATGACATACACATAAATACTGCCAAAGCTCTTTTGAAGTAAAAGTAGGGAAATTTTTGGGATTCATGCTAACAAGGAGGGGGATTGAAGCCAATCTAAACAAGTGTCAGGTGGTCGTCAATATGAGGATCCACACTAATGTGAAGGAAGTGCAACAACTTACTGGACGCCTAACTGCCCTTTCTCGTGTCCTCTCCTGCGCGGGCGACAAGGCTTTCCTATTCTTTGTCGCCTTAAGGAAAAAAAAGAAGTTCGAGTGGGCACCCGAGTGTGATGAAGCTTTTGCCAAGATCAAGGAATTCCTCACATCACCGTAGATCCTCACTCGGTCAAAGGAAAATTCACCTTTGCTTCTTTACCTTCCGGTCATTAAGCTCGCGATGAGCGCAATCCTTGTATAAGAAATAAACAAAGCAGAGAGATCCGTGTATTTCATAAGTAAAGTGTTTAAGGGCACTGAGACATGCTATCATAAGATTGAAAAACTTGTGTTAGTCGTTGTCGCCGCAACGGAAAAGTTCTGACCTTATATCCAAGAGCACGTCATCTTGGTAAAAACTAACTATCCCGTCTGTTAAGTTTGAAGAAACCTAACCTGGAGGGGAGAATGATATCTTAGTCGGTAGAGCTCTCATAATAAAATATTTAGTACGTTTCGAGGGGGAGCACCAAGTCTCAAGCCTCGATCGATTTAATAGCCGAACTCAACTCGCCCGTCGAAGAAGATCCACCTTTGAAATAGGCGTTATTCGTTAGCGACATCTCCAACATAAAAGAAAGCGCTACAAGATTAGTGCTCGAAAAAGACAAAGCGATATAATTATTAAGCATGCGTTAAAGTTTGAATTCACCGTCAACAACAACCAAAGAGTATACAAGGCACTCATCGCCCTTGAAATAAGAACTACTAGAGATTTTTTTACTGCCTTATCACACTTTTAAAATAAAAATTCCAAAATATCACACTTTGAAATTAATTTTCCAGAATACCCCATTAGGTGAACATACTAGATTTTTTTTGCTTTAGATACCCCCGTTAAGTTCCAAAATGAATATTTTAATATTTTTTCTTTTTCTGATAAAATAATAAGAAAAACATGCACTTGTTCCAATAACCACTATTTACACAATATAGTAATCTTTTACTTGAGCCTTTGTTACAAATTATGAAAACATGCACTTGTTTATTAGCAAGAGTGATAAGTATTTAATGTGTCATTTTATAATATTAAAATAATATTAATTATTATTATTTATTAATATAACTTTATTTATTATATTAAACTATATTTTATTTACTGAAAAAGAAAAAGAAATGCCCATGGTTTGTTTCATTTCCATTACGACTAAATTCCGAAACTGATTGATACAAGATATAGCAGTAACCAAAACCCTAGCCAGTATCGCCACTGAAGCTAAACCACTGCGTCTCTGTGTATTCGCAGAAGAAGACGAAGCTGTTTGCATCTATATTCATCAATATCAATCCGATTCTCAGCTCCACAGCTTCCTTCAGATCTCGTCATTTCTACAATGGCGGAATCACTGCAATCCATCGTTTCTCTTTCCGAATTGGTTTCTACTTCATCCACTAACCAACGACTTCGAATTTTCCAGCGCGAAGTCCCCGCGTTCTTGAATTCTTCCATTTCAGGTCACCACTGAATCGATCACACTAACGTTTCACTTCGTTTAGTGCTTAGTTGTTGATCTAGTTCTCAGATTGTGATTTGTTATTCTGTTTGATTGTTGATTAGATGAAAAGTGCACTATCTGAATTCTGAATGCATGTATGTTGTGGTTTTTTGTAGATGATGTGTCTCCGGAGTTTGCTTCGTTGTTGACTGATATAGTATTTCGAACTGTTGCGATTTACGAAGATCGGGGATCGAGGAAAGCGGTTGATGATGTGATTGTTAAGGCGTTGAGTGGAACGGTTTTTATGAAGACTTTTGCGGCTGCGCTAGTTCAGAGTATGGAGAAGCAGACGAAATCTCAATCTCATGTTGGCTGCTTTAGACTTATTAGCTGGTCGTGTTTACTGTTGAGTAAGAGCAAGTTTTCGACAGTTTCGAAGAATGCTTTGTGTAGAGTGGCTGCAGGGCAAGGTTCTTTGCTTAATATTGTTTGGCGGAGGTGTTTTCGTGAAAGAAGGGCGTGCAAGAAAAAGATTTTTCATTTATTTTCTAAGGTTTTGTTCAACCTTCGAATGCTAATGTTGCTTTGGTCATTTTGTTAAAAGAAATTATTATAATTTAGATGTTTATGCTTGTTTTGCTTTCAGTCACCGGATATTTATAAAGTCTATGTACAAGAAGTGAAAAATGGCCTAATTCCTTATAAGGATAGTCCGGAATTATTGTTGTTGTTGTTGGAGTTCTCAACTAGATCACCGTCTTTATTTGGAGAACTCAAGGTGAGTTAGTAGGATTCATTAATTTTATGTATTTTTGTTTACATGGGATTGTTTTTCGTTGTCTAGATTCTAATGCAATTCTCTGCACTTAACAGCCAACATTTCTTGATATTTATGTTAATGCAATATTGAGTGCAAAAGAAAAGCCTGGAAAGAATCTCACTGAAGCATTTCATCCACTGTATTTGCAAATATCACATGAAGATTTTGGAGTTATTGTTTTGCCGGCTGCGCTTAAAATGCTTAAGCGCAACCCGGAGATTGTGTTGGAGTCTGTTGGAATTCTTTTGAAGTCGGTTAACCTTGATTTGAGTAAATATGCTGCGGAAATTCTTTCAGTAGTACTAGTGCAGGCTCGACATGCCGATGAAGAAAGAAGGGATGTGGCATTAGCTATAGTCAGGAGTTTGAGCCAAAAATCAAGCAATCCAGATGCACTGGACACAATGTTCAATGCTATCAAATCTGTTATTAAAGGTATGAAGTAGCCCTATGCTTGTGTTTTTAACTTGTTATGGTATTATCGCTGTTCTTGTTTTACTGTGTTGATGGTGCCTTTTAATATGTTTTGATCTGTGTTTTATTCTTAATAGGTTCAGAAGGAAGACTTGCTTTTCCATACCAGAGAGTTGGAATGGTGAATGCGATTCAAGAATTATCTAATGCACCTGATGGGAAATATCTCATAGTTTTGTCTCAAACAATATGTGATTTTCTTTTATCATGCTACAAGGATGATGGTAAGTACAGTCACACACTAATATTCATCTTAATTGTTCCTTTTTTTTGGCCTTGGGATACCCTTGAAACTTCAAACATATTCACAAAAATCGTCAAACATGTTGATATGTTCACAAAAATCTACAAAAGCCACTAACTTCCACTTAATCTTGACATTGAAAACCTTTAAAATATATCAAAAGAATTAATTACTTTTCTTAGATGACAAGACCACATTGAATATTCCTTAGGAGACTCAAACAAATACTCACATGAATTATGACAATACAAAGTTGAATACTTTCTTTTTGGATTTGTTGTATCATACGAATTTAGCAGAAATAGTTGCTTAAGGTATGTGGTTATGCGGCATATTTTTGAAACACGGTCTAATTCAAATGCCTCTTTCTGGACTCAGGACTTGACCCTAGAATGATTATTAATCGGTATTTATCATGTTCTTAATGTGAATCAATGTGACAACACAAGTCTCCTTAGAGTGTTTTTACCTCACTCACACACTTCTTGGGATCTTTCCATGAAGTCACCAATTCCAAAATTTCTTCGAGCCAAGCTTGCTTAACTATGGAATTCTTATGATATCAGCTACCAAAAAGAAGATCCATCTTGTTGGTGTAGGTTGTACCAATCAATTCTTATAGGCCATCCTTCAACCATATAGTCCCGTCCCTTACCTGCATGACATTAGGATCCCTTGTTCTGATGTGAAGTCGGTTCATTCATGTGTCCCTTTGATAAGGATTTTATATTTGAAATAAATCCAAAACCAGCTTGTCCTCATATGGATCATATATGCTGCTGTTTCATGTTCCACCCTGGATTGACAGGAAACGAAGAGGTTAAAATGGCGACTTTGTCAGCTATCGCTTCTTGGGCGGTTAAATCTTCAAATATTATTCAAGAGAGTTTAGTTTCCTTTTTTGCATCTGGTCTCAAAGAGAAGGAAATTTTAAGAAGGGGTTTCCTGCGCAGTCTACATGCTTTATGCAAAAATGCCGATGCTGTCTTAAAGGTGACTTGTCATGTTAATTAACTATCCTTTGTTGTCAATTTATTGCATACTGTAAACTTTATCCCCTTACATCCTGGCTAAATATTTTTCAGATATCGTCGTTGCTTGGCCCTCTTGTCCAACTCGTAAAAACTGGCTTTACCAAGGCAGTGCAACGTTTAGATGGCATATATGCATTGTTATTAGTCGGGAAGATAGCAGCAGTTGATATTAAAGCTGGTCAGTATTAGTGCATTAAATGTAGTTGAACTTGAAGCTATATCTTTGTCTTGTTTGATTTCTTTTGCCAAGATTTTTCATTTGTTCATTTGTGTTTTATCTTCCTAGAGGAAATATTGGTAAAGGAAAAAGTATGGGCCACTGTATCACAAAATGAACCTTCCCTCGTGCCCATTTCCACGGTAATTACTCTAACCAATTTTTTTATTAGCATTACCCAAGCTATATTCTACATCTTCATATCTAAAAATGTGCTCTACAGGCATCAAAGCTAGCAGTTGAAGATAGCATTGCATGTATTGATCTTCTTGAAGTGCTTCTTCTTGAACATTTACAGCGGTAAAATTGCATATATAGTGCCATAAGACCAGCTCGTAGTTTATGTCTTATGAGTTGTATGCTTAATAATGTTTTGTTGTGACTTTGTGCTACAGTACATTATCCAGTTTCTCAGTCAGATCGCTGTTACAGGTAAAATAATTTGCAATTAATCAGACCCTGTGTTGGTGTTTATATTTTGACTCAGTTATTGTCAACTTGATGCAGTTAATCATATTTTTTATATGCCATCCAAGGTGGGATATTCGAAGAATAGCTTACAATGTTGCTAAGAGGATTATAACTTCTGTTCCACAATTATCTGAAGATCTTTTCTCTGAGTTTTCAAAGTATCTTTCTTTGATTGAAGAGAAACTTTCAGCTTTAAGATTAAGGTAAATAGCTTATTGTACATATATCTTCATATTTATCATTTGAATCATTTTAGGCTTGTTGAAAGTCTAGGGTTTTAGATAAGAAGCGAGGGAAGTGAATGATAAATTGATAAATTTACTATAGAAAATACTGATACTTATTTATACTAATACTACTCATAATTCTATAAAACAGGCAAACAGATCATGTTGATAACTAAGAAATAGAGGAATTAATCCTAAGATATAATTCAAGATACTCACTAGTCAGACATGAAACTGCACTTAAGAGATAATCTATAAGCTAATATCAATATGAGACATTTTTCACATTATCCAACTCTCTCCCCGAAGATAAAATTTACATATCTTTAAGCTTAATACAAGTATTCCCTTCAGTGAAGAAAATAAACAAGGATATTATATAACGGCAGGGCTAGGCTGCTTTCCCCAGAACCCTTGTTTAACTTGGTTAGAACAAAAGGCTTTCCGCAGAACCCATATGCCACTGCAGTGATACTGACATTGATAATAGTCTATTTTTGCTGTTTTGTTTTTTGAGTTCTCATGTTTGAATTTGCAGTGACACTGATATTTCTTTGGACCCTCAAGTTCCATTCGTTCCATCGGTTGAGGTTTTGGTAAAGGCCTTACTGATTATGTCATCTTCAGCCATGAAAGTTGCTCCAGATTCATTTGTCAGAATAGTCCTTTGTGCACATCACCCATGTGTAGTTGGTAGTGCAAAAAGAGATGTAGTGTGGAAGGTACTACTGCGTTATCTTATTTTTCGACCCGATACTTTATTTACCTATTATTGTTATGTTTTCATCTTATAATGGAGTTCTGATAAACATATAATCTAGGAGTTAATCTGAAAATATAAAAAGTCTGGTATCTTGTGCATGTAATCTTGTTATAGTCTAATTAGTTAGGCATGGGTTGCGGTAGTGTCAAAATTTACTTGTATTATTGATAATTTCTCTACATCGCAGGATCTGTTTAAATTATAAAATGGACAGTTGTATGTGTATTGGTTTCTTAGTCTGTTTTTGTTCTCTCCTTTATTTTTATTTTTTCCAGTCTCCAAGTCCCTATCTATCTTTTTCATTTTATCTGTAATAGATCATCTGGCCTTAGGTTTTCACAACAAAAAGTAAATAAGCAGCTGCTTCATAGTTAAAGCTGCCAAAAACACCTTAGAAGAGATGACTAAGCATGTCTTTACTCTATAGCCCATACATAAATAGGACACAATGAAATATAAGCAAAAAGAGACTAAATTATGCCAAATATTTGGAAATGTAGTTGATTACATTTAATATGTGCAATTTAAATAAAAATGTTGAGTCAATTGCCTAAGTTACCCTTCAATAATAATTGATTCATTAGAAATATGAAAAGTTAAATTAGATGACATGTATTAGTTATATCATTAAATAGGAGTGAAGTTATTGATATTTGCTTGTATTTCGTTCCAAGAAATATGATTTAATTTTTCTTATAACTCATTCCAGAAGTGGTACCATACTATGTGCGTATCTTATAAAACATAAAACAACAAAGTATTTTTGATGCATCTTTGAATGAGTAAACTACTCCAGTTTTTGTTATGCTATGTTTGTCATTGATTTTACCTTTTGGAAGTGTAAATTGCATTTCTGTGCATGTCTAATAATATATACAGCGAGTAGATCTCTAGTTACTCATGTCTTTCGTGTGTTATAATTCAAAGTTTCTTTTTGGTTTGTTGGTTGACTCATTTCATTATTTTTCCAGAGGCTCTCTAAGTGTCTGCAAGCACATGGCTTTGATGTAATTGATATTGTTTCTGCCAATGTGGTAAACTTTGTACAGGTAATTAACTGCAAATCTCTGAAGCATTTGAAATTTCTGATGGCATTTATATATTGAATATCTAAACTTTCTTTTCCTTTATAATCTGCCAAAATCTAGTCACCTTCTACAATCGGTTGCATACTTGCACCAGTCTTGTTACTCACGTGATTATATTTGGTTCGCTAGATTGAACTGCATACCTGCACCACTATTGTTACTCACGTGATTATATTTGATTCGCTAGATTGAACCGCATACTTGCACCACTATTATTACTCACGTGATTATATTTGGTTCGCTAGATTGATCTAATATTCAATTGCATCATTCAAAATTTCCACTTATTGTCTGGGATGGTACAAGGGTTGTACCATAGGATTTGCTATATATACTGTTTATCTGCATTTGATGAACTGACATTCCAAATCATGGGAACATTATTTTTTATCTATTTGTTTGTCTTGCTATGTATATTGTCTGCTTCATTCCTATTGGTTTGACCACATTTTCATGTACAAACAACATCTATTTGAGAAAGGTTAATTTTGTATTGCTAATTGATCAGATTGTATGTTGTATTGCAGGTCTTACTGGGACCAATGGGTTTGAGAAGTGCTAATCCACTTGAACAAGAAGCAGCAGTATCATCACTATCCAACTTGATGTCTATAATCCCTGGAGATACCTATACAGAGTTTGAGAAGGTTGACATGTTATTCTATATTTTCTGTTTGGGTATTGTTCAATTGGAGACTAAACATTGAAGCTTTTGATTGATCTGTTAATGTGAATTCTTATTGCTGACTACTATGCTCCATATTCCTGATGCCAGCATTTGCTAAATCTTCCTGAGCGGTTTTCTCATGATACACTTTCAGAGAACGACATCCAGGTAATTCACAGGGTGCATTTATCATAGTCAACTGATATTATCAATGTGATGTTTTTCCACACTTTGTATTAGGTTTTGGGCATAAGTCAACTATGACAACCGACTTGTAATATTTAGGCCTTATCTGTAGCCAATGTAAGACTTAGATTTTTTTAGTAGACCCCTTAATGTCGAACACTATTGGGATGTGTGGATAATATGGGTTGGCTCTTCCACAGATTTAAGATAGATTTTAATGCTATCTTAGGGTTTGGGATAGCTAAATCTCTCAAAACCAGCTTGCAAGGTGATGTATGGCTAATTGACATGAGTTTTTAAATACTTTTGGTCATAACTCAATTTCATTTACTCTGCAAGTAATATTTGTGTTTTGAGTGTGAAAGTGAAGCAAAGTAAAAGAAATTTAGAAAAAGTAAACTGGGGAGTTTCTATATTTTTTTTGTAATTCTTTTTCTGGGATGAATTCAAGATGGAGTTTTCATACTTATACAGTCAATCTTGAAACTGAATTGCAGGGTAGTTGTCACTGGTCAATCTATTGTAACAAACTCTTAACAACAAAAATATTTATCTGATTCTGTAGACTTTTACAATGGGCATAATGAAATCAGTTTGCTATTTTTTTTAGTAAAAAATATTTAAAGTAAACTGGGGTTTCTTAATTCTCTGTAATTCTATTTCTAAAATGAACTCAGAAGGGAGTTTTCATGTTTATACAGTCAATTGAGAATAATAACTATCTGATTCTGTTTGTGTTGACTATATAATGGGAATAACAATATCAGTTTCCTTTTTTTTTGGGTCACTTGGTTTCAGATCTTTCATACACCTGAAGGAATGCTTTCCGCTGAGCAAGGAATTTATGTTGCTGAATCTGTTGCTTTTAAGAACACAAAACAAGCAAAGGGCCGTTTCCGGATGTATGATGAAGATGACTCGGTACATCTTAGTTTTTTCTAATTTCTTTACTCCATTCCATGCGAATTTTGCTTAGTCGTGTTCTGTTACTTTGAACAGGATCATGCCCAATCTAACCATTCAACAAAGAGAGATCAACCTAGTAGAGAAGCTGCTGGTGCAGGGAAAAAGGATACTGGGAAGACAACAAAGAAGGCCGGCAAGTGTTCCACTTCTATTGGCCTGATGTTCATATTTTTTGAATTCAAAGTTTGCTTAACATGGTTTTGATTGCTGTCATATTGTGATTCATTTAGACAAAGGGAAGACAGCAAAAGAAGAGGCAAGAGAATTGCTACTTAAGGAGGAGGCTTCTATACGTGATAGAGTTCGTGAAATACAGAAAAATCTGTCTTTGATGCTAAGAACTCTTGGAAATATGGCCATTGCTAACTCAATTTTTGCACATAGTAAACTGCCTTCAATGGTATTGGAATGATTCCTACTAATATTTGGTTATTTGTTTGCCATATATATTTGATGCCACTGAATTAACAGTATCATTCTGAGATTCAAATTTTGTTATTTTATTTTGTTAAATTTACAGTGCATTTATTTAATCATTTATTTGTTTCATACTCTGTTCCTTTTTTATATGAATGTAATAATATATTAGTGCAATTATGAGTTTAAATATTTGTCAGGTCAAATTTGTTGAACCTTTACTGCGATCACCTATTGTAAGTGACGAGGCCTTTGAAACCCTGGTGATGTTATCAAGATGCACGGCTCCTCCTCTATGTGATTGGGCCTTTGACATTTCTACTGCCTTACGTCTAGTTGTGACTGATGAAGTTCATCATCTGTTGGATCTTGCTCCATCAGTTGTTGAAGAGGAAGTTAACCAAAGGCCATCTGGCCTTTTTGAGCGAATTATAGATGGCTTATCTACTTCGTGTAAATCAGGAGCACTTCCAGTTGATTCTTTTTCTTTTGTATTCCCTGTAAGATAATGGAGAGAATTCTTTTAAACACAATTTAATCAATTTAGCAAGACTTCTATGTTTCTAATTCTTTTTCTGAATAGATAATGGAGAGAATTCTTCTGTGCTCAAAGAAAACAAAGTTTCACGAAGCAGTGCTTCGGTTAATTTACTTACACATGGATGCTCATCTACCTCTTCCCAGGGTTCGAATGCTGTCGGTAATATTTTCTACATTTCATGTATTATATAGTCATCTATTTTGTTTAGCCAATTGCTTTCCGTCTTATTAAAACTATTTTTTGTAGGTTCTTTACCATGTCCTTGGCGTTGTTCCAGCTTTTCAAGCATCAATAGGACCTGCTCTAAATGAGCTAAGTCTTGGTTTCCAGCCTGACGAAGTTGCTTCAGTACGTATTTTTTTCTCCATCTGCATTGCTCTCTCTCTCTCTCTCTCTCTCTCTCTCTCTCTCTCTCTCTCTCTCTCTCTCTCTCTCTCTCTCTCTCTCTCTCTCTCTCTCTCTCTCTCTCTCTCTCTCTCTCTCTCTCTCTCTCTCTCTCTCTCTCACTCACTCATATTTATGTATCTCTGTGACAATGCTTATATTAATTTGCAATTTTAAAGGCACTTTATGGGGTTTATGCAAAAGATGTTCGCGTGAGAATGGCCTGCTTAAATGCTGTCAAGTGCATCCCTGCTGTTTCTAATCGTTCTCTACCCCAGAATACTGAGGTTGCAACAAGTATATGGATAGCATTACATGATCCTGAGAAGGTTTGCCCCCTTGTTCTCTCAAACTTACAAGGTCTATTCTCGCCCTTTCAATTTATCTTGTCCACAGGGAATATCGTGGCCTTGCAAAGAGTGTGATATGATGTATTGGCTTATTTTTTAATTCCATTTCTCTTTAGAGTAGAAGAGCAACCTACTCTCTGCATGAAAGGGTTGTATAGGCTGTTCGAGGTTATTTTGATTCCATTATTCAAAGTTGTTACTTCCTCATCACAGGAATTTTCTCTGTTGTAGTGCATTGATTTACAGATTTGCTATTGTCTTGGCAGTTTGTAATTTTGAAATATTTTTCTCTGTCCCTAACTAAATAAATGCTGGTAGGTTTAGAGCACTCAAAACGAGGCAACCTAGCTCACATGCTGCTGCAAAAGTGAGTTGAGCTAGTTTGGCTTACTTTTTTGCAATCGAAAAACCCTTAACCTGGGTAACAAACAACTGTGATGGCTCTTTCTACCAAAAGCTTCACTTGCATTTTGGTCAATAATCAATATACTGTTAGTCGACTTCGGTAATCTAATATGCTGCCCAATAAGCTGCTTAAAATTTGTGTTGACTGGAGAACGAAAATTGAGGTGTAGGCTGGCTATCTATGTTGGATAAAGGGAGTTTGTGTGGGAAATGTCAGCATCCTAGAATGGTAATTGTTAATCACATGGCATTCCAATCAAAGATCTATCTTAGCCACTATGGCTGTGTCTGGAGAAGTTTGCCAGTGCGAGCTTAACCGATCAATCGGTTCATGTCCACCACCGACAACCTCTGCTGGATTTTCCACAGAAGTTCCGGCTACTTGATTATCCTCTAAAGATTTTCCAGCTTCCCTTCGGTCTTTTTGTTTTCTTATAGCATTTTAGAGAAGCTCATGGTTATTTTTAATTTTATTGATTGGGAAGCAGTGAAACCTTTTCTCAAAGGCCATCTCATCTTCATAGATTTATTGTCAGTCCAATGATTTTCCATGATGATTTCTTTCCAAATCAGAATGATGCTGGAAGTGCTATTCCAGCCTATTTAATCGGGCATTACTCGCTAAAATTTCCATGGCTTCGATAGTCATTATCAATACTCTTTCTTACCAAATTCAAGCTCTACATAATCAAATTAGTGATTCAAGGTTTAAAAGAAACAGAATTATATATTTTCAGAAAATGCATAACTAGAGTTTGAATTCTGTGGAAAATTACATGTAGAATCAAAGTTTATGGATTCGTTGTGTCTTGAACTATCTGGAGCCAGCCAGCCTTGCACGATTTCATTAATGACTTTGGACTTAATTTAGTTGCTCCCTCCATTACAAAATCTTGAGTTAAGAAATTTGGTTTAATTTTATGGGTCACTTCAACATATAAAAAATACATTGATTTTTCTAACTTTATCCTTGGCTTGCCTACTTAGTTGAGTGAGAGAGAACATTAATGAACTGAGAGGCTAATTTACTCTAATACAGTTACAGTAAATTTTATTAATTAATGTTTTAGTGTCTTTCTTATCTGTTGTTTAAAAACTTAAATTAATAATATTGATAATTTGAAAAGAATAGTACTTAGATCCTTAATTATGAGATTGGATTTTTCTGATAAGATTAACTTATCAAATACATTGAACAATGATTCTTGAGAAGCTAAATCATCTAATAGTCTTGAATAATGACAAATAAAATTTGGTGTGGGTGCCGGAGGGTGCCAACCTAGTTGGGATCTTCGTGCCTTCATCTTTTGCTTCACTTTAACTTTTTTGCTTAAAAAAAGACAAATTAAATTGGCATCAAATATGTTATGGTAATTATTATCGCTTCTATTTATATTTCTCATATGCTTAAGTTATCCTCCAGTTATGATTTAATTTCATTATGGTTTGTGAGGTTCTCATTCACTTTCTGTCTCTACAAAAGCTCTTATTTATTGCTCTTAGAGAGTTCAGATTTCTACTTCTGTATAGTTTTTATACAATACCTTTAACTCCAATTATATATGACGACTAATTTACTATGTTTGACATTTGCAGCCGGTCGCCGAAGTGGCAGAAGACATATGGGATCATTATGGGTTTGACTTTGGAACCGACTTTTCGGGAATTTACAAAGCACTTTCTCATGTTAACTACAATGTTCGCTTGGCAGCTGCTGAAGCTCTAGCTGCTGCCTTGGATGAACATCCAGATATTATACAAGTATGCTTGCTCAAAACTTTCAACTTGTTATTCGGTATTTATCTAATAACTACTAATATTTTTCAGGAGACACTTTCCACTTTATTTTCGTTGTATATCCGTGACACGGGAACTGGAGATGGCAATGTTGATGCTGGTTGGCTGGGCAGGCAAGGTGTAGCTTTAGCACTACATTCTGCTGCTGATGTGTTGAGAACAAAAGACCTTCCGGTTGTAATGACATTTCTAATATCGAGAGCACTGGTAATTTTCACTGGCATTTTTGAATAATTTCATTACATTTTTTAAACTGAAACCTACTTTCACACTAAATTGCTCACATTTGGGGCCTGTTGAAGTATTTAGTTAGTCTTTTAAGTATAGGGGGAGAAATAGGAATACTCATGAAAGTAAAATTATATAAATGCGAATGACATGTAGATATTATCATAGATGACAAAAGTCTAAGTCTTACTTATACTGACATTATACTAGTAATCCTCCTAATCAAGGAAGCCCGTAATGCTACATATAAGATTTTAAAAGAAAATTTCAGTATATTCAAACAGAATCAGCACCTTGATGCGGGTGATTCATTAACTTCTTAATATCCGACATAGCTTATTGAATCCATTTCTGTACATTGTGCATGTTTGAGCTTATCTGAAAAATGAGTAGCAGTATTTTCGGATTGAGCTTTTAATTTTTTCTTTTCAAGGTTCATTATTATATTATCATATTCAAATGAATTCAATGCCTTTCTTAATCTTCCATGATGTTGATTGAAGAAATCTGATCCTGCCTGTTGATAGTGTTACTAAAACAGTGTAGAAATATAGAAATTTAGGTTTACCCTAAGGGTTTTGTTGCATCACATTCGTGGGCAGAACACAATTATTCAATATAGCAAGTTCTGATAAGGAAATTTAATTATTAAAGATATTCTAATACTTGTTACTTTCTATTATGAAAATATATTATTGTATGAAAAGAAGTATATTGTCATAATGAAAGAATCAGCCTAGATTTTAAACTAAATGTTGAGGCTCTCTTATCTTCACAGTTATTATGTTCTGTTGATGGTAGTGTCTGCATCTATTCTGCTAGTGACCTTTTATCATGTTCTACAGGGTAATTTTTGTAAATCAAGTATTTATTTGACATTAAATGGCAAGTAACTTTTGACTATGGGGTTGATTTGATTTGCAGGCTGATCTAAATGCTGATGTTAGAGACAGAATGATTAATTCTGGTATATTGATCATTGATAAAAATGGAAAAGACAATGTCTCATTGTTATTTCCCATATTTGAGAACTACTTGAACAAAACGGTGAGTTCCATGTCATATTGGAGATACATTTATAAATACTCCCGTTTTTTTTTTCTCTCTTTGTAATCAGACACTTAGTTCATGTATAAGAGTTCTAGGGGATCTTTTGTTAATAGATTCTCCTCAAATTTCTTAGGCACCGGATGAAGAACAATATGACTTGGTTCGTGAGGGTGTGGTTATCTTCACTGGAGCTCTGGCAAAACACTTGGCAAAGGTTATTACTGAAGTTTCATCTGTTGTTGCTTATTACCAACATCTCATTTTTATTGATTGTTTTTGGTTTTAGTAGCAAGTTGAATTTTAACTTTCTTGTAATATTTATACTCCTGTTTGAGCAGGATGATCCCAAGGTTCATGCTGTTGTGGACAAGTTGTTGGATGTTTTGAACACTCCTTCAGAATCTGTTCAACGGGCCGTCTCTGCGTGTCTATCTCCCTTAATGCAGTCAAAACAGGTATGCACATAAGCAGTTTTATTGTTATTATTCAATGCATTTAGTTCTGTTTCCTTGGAAAATTATTAGATGGAACTCGACAAGAGTTCTTTTTTGGCATTATATAAAAGCGGGTATAAAAATCCTAATGCATAATTATCCTTACCCCTTTAGTTGATTGGACAGATCATATGCTATACTTACACCAGCAAAAGGTTCAATGTGAATAGGTCACTATGTTTGGTCTTTTGATACATTTATATACTTGTGCCCTATTAGTTTTCTATAAGTTATACTTGAACCAGTTGGCAAGTTCTTACAGTTTCCAGTCCTTGTTTGACAGCAATCCTTTTTTCAAGGGTTCAAATTTGCTAGTTATTCAGTGCACACCTTCATCAACATGTTTACATTCTTTACACAATAGATTTTCCATATTTTTTCGGGTTGTTTGCTTAATTGAAATTTCTGTTCTTTTATTTGATTTGATACCATTAGGAGGAAGGAGCAGCTCTTGTTACTCGATTGTTGGATCAGATGATGAAAAGTGAGAAATATGGAGAACGGCGTGGGGCTGCTTTTGGACTTGCAGGGGTGGTTAAGGGATTTGGTATTTCTTGCTTGAAAAAGTATAAGATTGCGATTATTCTTCAAGAGTGTCTTGCTGAGAGGTTGGAGTATTCTTTATTATACATTTTCTTTTTGTATTTTCAAAATTCCCAGCAGTGCAAGGAATTTTGAGAAAGTGCAGTTTATGGTTTTTAACCTGACATGTGGCCATTGATGTATAAGAAACGAGAAACATATCTTCCTTATATTCTGTTATTTTCAAACTACAGGAACTCCGGAAAATCTCGTGAAGGAGCCTTACTTGGATTTGAGTGCCTTTGTGAGACACTTGGAAAACTATTCGAACCGTATGTTGACCCTTAAGTTATTAATTCTTAATGTTGTTATTTTGATGGTTTTATATTCTTCTCACCATGATTGTATTCAGGTACGTGATCCAGATGCTACCACTGCTTTTGGTTTCTTTCTCTGATCAAGTTGCTGCAGTTCGAGAAGCAGCCGAAGGTGCTGCCCGTGCAATGATGTCCCAACTTAGTGCTCAAGGGGTGAAGCTTGTCCTTCCATCTCTCTTGAAGGTGATTTACATTGCTTATCTTTATGAATGGCAAATCATTGTGTGCAGTTCAAGGTTATCAATAGTGCATTTAGCGCCAGGATGGTGCCGGTGTGGCACAGTACAGTTGCTTGCCACCATTGTAAGGCCAAGTGTGTAGCACATTAAACGTGGGAGTGGAGAGCTGGTGTTTGGGTTATTTGGTTACTATATAACCACTTGTTTATAATATTAATCTTGTAATTTGTCAAAAAGTATTCAAATAGCTACCATCTCCACACACGCTATCCCAGTATCACAGTTTTGTGGTCAGCTGTGCTGCTTCACTATCTAGGATGGACAACATTGATTCTAACATGCTCAACTACAACAAGTTTTGAAAAAATAGTTGTCATTATGTGCTTTTTTAAATATATGCACTGTAATTTTTTAAATATATATATGGATCTCAACCTTAATAGCAGGTGGCCCAACAGTTATAAACAAGATATAAATTTTTTATATTGAGAACTTCTGTTTAAATTAATACTTTATTTATTCAGCAATACCTCTAAGTTTACAAATTCTCCCAACATTATGAAGTTATAAATGTTCTATGTTTTGTGTGACATTTACTGTGCTTCTCTTGCCAAGAACTATTCAATAGTTACTATATTTGCTCAGGGTCTTGAAGATAAAGCTTGGAGAACAAAACAAAGTAGTGTACAATTACTTGGCGCTATGGCTTACTGTGCTCCTCAACAGTTGTCTCAGTGCCTCCCTAAGATTGTACCAAAATTGACTGAGGTATTAGATTAAACAATCACATTATGAGAAATAAGTTACTTGTACTTTATTGGTTGCATTATCTAAATCTATCTCTATATTTGAAGGTTTTAACTGATTCCCATCCTAAAGTCCAGTCAGCTGGGCAAATGGCCCTTCAACAGGTTAGCTTTGGGTATTATCTGCTGCTTAGATTATTGTTGTGCTTTATTTATATTTTTAAATTTTCTTTTTTCAGGTTGGAAGTGTGATAAAGAATCCAGAAATATCTGCTCTTGTCCCTACACTACTTAAGGGACTCAGTGATCCTAATGAGCATACAAAATATTCTCTTGATATTCTTCTCCAAGTAGGGTTTATGGCATGCATTTTGGTGATTTAAGTCTTATACTTTGCTGCATTTAATCTGATCTGTTGGTTGCAGACAACCTTTGTTAATTCCATCGATGCCCCATCACTTGCATTGTTGGTACCAATAGTACACAGAGGACTGAGGGTACGGAGTGCTGACACTAAGAAGAGAGCATCACAAATAGTTGGAAACATGTGTTCCTTGGTTACAGAGCCTAAGGATATGATTCCGTATATAGGATTGTTGCTCCCTGAAGTCAAAAAGGTACTTTCTCATGATAGCTTTTACAATAGCCGGATTAGCCTTGACCCTTTGTTCATTTCATTTTTATATCATGAGATCAGGTTCTTGTAGATCCTATCCCCGAAGTTCGGTCAGTTGCTGCTAGAGCCATTGGATCCCTTATAGGAGGAATGGGTGAAGATAATTTCCCCGATCTTGTCCCATGGTTGTTTGAAACTCTGAAGTCTGATAATAGTAATGTTGAACGCTCCGGAGCAGCTCAAGGCCTGAGTGAGGTCAGTTCCCCCACCATCTTTGGTTATATTTTTAACTTGAAAATTTATATTGTTACCCTTGGCTTCTATCATAAAACAACTCTTCCAAAGGCTTAATCTGTTAATTAAAAATACTTAAATTATTGTCACATTTTTAACTTGCCCCTTCACGTAAGAGTCCTTTCGGCTTGAAAAATGGACAGTGCACGAGTTGCTTTAGTACCATGTCATGAATGATGTATTCCATAAGTTTTAGTTGTTGGGTAAATAGATGAGTTACTTTTTAATACATTTCTGACAGCTTCTGATTTGGTATGACAAGTCGTGGTTTATTTGATTGGTTGGTGAGAAACCTTGTATCGTACATTAGATAAAATTGAATAAATACATGCCAAGAAGCATGAAATAGGTAAATAAAATTTGAATAAATACCTTGTATCGTAACTAGATAAAATTGAATAAATACATGCCAAGAAGCATGAAATAGGTAAACAAAGTTTGTACTACGAAGTTGCAAATATTTTCATGGCTGAACAAAAATTTGAATTTGACTTGGGTTTGAGTCAATGTTCAAATTGGTGGAAAAGGATGGAATGGTGCTAGGTTCAATTATTTTGATTATTCAAAATAAGATGAATTGGAGTGAAACCTGATCATATGCATTTCATTTCATTCTGTCCAATAAGTTTTTTTCTTTACCTCCACTTGGGTGATGTGGGATGGATCTGATCTTTCCCTATTCAATCATAAAACTATACAAACAATCATAAAACTATACAAACAATATATTGGAAGTAGAGATTTTACTATCAACGACTAGCGTCTAAAATTATATCTACTTTGATTAATGAAACAGAACTGTGTTATGAGTTGGATACTTGACTAGAACCAGACTTGACTATTTTTCACGTGTTAGTTGTGATCAGAATTTAATTTATTATCACTCTTTGAGGATATAATTTTACCACCTTGTTTAATTTAACGTATTTGATTGTATGTACTCCTCCATCACCTGAACAAACTTCAGGTCTTAGCTGCACTTGGTATTGCGTACTTTGAGCATGTATTGCCTGACATTATTCGAAATTGCTCCCATCAAAAAGCATCTGTTCGAGATGGATACTTGACACTGTTTAAGGTGAAGCAATTGAAGTGGATTTTTGTTCTTATTTATATTATAAACTTTGAAGATTTCTTTCAGAAGTTTGTTTAACCAGTTTTTCAAATATTTTAGTATTTGCCGCGGTCATTAGGATTCCAGTTCCAAAACTATCTTCCCCAGGTGCTGCCTTCTATCTTAGATGGTATGTTACTCTCTATTTCCGGCCTGGTAATGTGCTTTCATTTATGTTCATGATCTGTTATCTTTAAATTTACCGCATTCCTTATTTTTTAAATATTTTTTAGGTCTTGCTGATGAGAATGAATCTGTCCGCGAGGCTGCACTAGGGGCTGGCCATGTCTTGGTTGAACATTATGCAACATCGTATGTTCTATCTGTTTTTATGCATCACTTTGTCTATGATTCTTATTGAATTATTCATGTCAGAACTATTGCTCTTTTTTTCTTTCTTTCTATTTCTCGGATAATATTCATGATGAATGCCACAGGGTAGGATGCCTTCCATTAATTTTTTCTTTTAAATTTTCACAACAGGTCTCTACCTCTTCTCCTACCAGCTGTTGAGGATGGCATATTTAATGATAGTTGGCGTATTCGACAGAGCTCTGTGGAGCTATTGGGCGATCTATTATTCAAAGTATGTAGTGGTCCTATTACAGCAACTCAATCACCAAACTTGATTTGATTTATGAGCCTATTTTTTCCTTCCAGGTTGCTGGGACTTCTGGTAAAGCTTTACTTGAGGGGGGAAGTGATGATGAAGGTTCTAGTACCGAGGCTCATGGACGTGCCATCATTGAGATTCTAGGGCGTGATAAGCGCAATGAAGTACTTGCTGCATTGTATATGGTTCGAGCAGATGTTAGTTTGTCAGTACGCCAGGTAACACTTATCTGCTCATCACTTTTTTCTTGACAAGGTTGGCTTACCAATTGGGAATATATATCTCAACTGTCAAAACGGAATGCTTCTTTTCTTAGGCTGCATTACATGTGTGGAAAACTATTGTGGCAAATACTCCAAAGACTCTTAGGGAAATTATGCCAGTTTTGATGGATACTTTAATTGCATCCCTTGCATCAGCATCATCTGAAAGACGGCAGGTATGCAGTTATATCTGTTTCAACATATGTTTGGTCACAGCTTTCAGAAATTATATGTCCCTAATGCTGATTTTCATCAAGGTTGCTGGACGGTCACTTGGTGAGCTCGTCAGAAAGCTTGGTGAACGCGTGCTTCCCTTGATAATCCCAATTTTATCCCAGGGTTTGAGTGACCCTGACAGCGGCAGAAGACAGGTTAGAATAGTTTATGGCGTTCAAATTAATAAAAAAAATATACAATGGACATGTGAAAAAGCCAATAGCTCATGTAATTTGATACCATTATAATTTGCATTGTTTGCAAGGGTGTTTGTGTTGGTCTGAGTGAAGTGATGGCAAGCGCTGGTAAGAGTCAGTTGATGACCTTCATGACTGATCTCATCCCCACTATTCGGACTGCTCTTTGTGATAGGTTTGTGTATTTTAATGAGTTCTCCTGTTTTTAGAGTTTTTTAGTCTGCATTATGCGATATTTAGATGGATATTTTTACAGTGAGCCCGCAGTTCGTGAATCAGCGGGTCTTGCCTTCAGCACTCTGTACAAGGTTGTCATCTATCACCCTCTTTGCGTGATTTTCTGTGCTCAGGATTTTGCTTGTGGCATCTGATATTAAACGTAACTGTTTTACCATACCTTATCCCTGAAAAATTGCTATTCAGAGTGCTGGTCTGCAAGCTATTGATGAGATTGTTCCAACTCTTCTACATGCATTGGAGGATGATAAAACGTCTGACACTGCACTTGATGGCCTTAAACAAATTCTGAGGTAACATATGCGATGCTGTTATTATCATAGGCCCTTGAATAGTGGATTTATTGTTTCTACCAACTTGTAAATTGACTGATATATTATATTTTCTTTTTATAGTGTAAGAACAAGTGCAGTCTTGCCTCACATTCTACCCAAACTGGTTCATCCTCCATTGTCGTATGTGTCTCTGTGTTTGGATTCACTTGTTCTGGATGCTTTATCATTTGTGCATCTTAATTAAACATTTGCTGGTACATGGTCAGGGCCTTCAATGCACATGCTCTTGGAGCTTTAGCAGAGGTTGCTGGGCCTGGTCTTGACTCTCATCTTGGTACTGTGCTTCCTCCTTTGCTATCAGCAATGAGTAATGTTGACCAGGTAGAAAGTACACACATAATTGAAGATAATGCAACTTTATACATCCTATTTGCAACTTATATGTCTGCTTCATGAGCTATTGTCCAATAGAGTGTAGAAGAGTATTACTTATTTTTAATAAACTTTTGTTGATTATTGAAATTCTAGGAGGTTCAAACTTCTGCTAAGAAGGCTGCTGAAACAATAGTCTTGGTTATTGATGAAGAAGGTGTTGACCCACTCATATCAGAGCTTGTGAAAGGTGTTAGTGATAGCCAGGTACCTGTCTTCTAATAACCATTGAAATTTAATGCTCCTCACTGTCTTCATTACGTAGTTCCCCACTCTTCGTTTTTCCTTTATTTTTGGCAATTTATGTCAACAGGCTGCTGTAAGAAGATCGAGTTCATATCTGATAGGATACTTTTTCAAAAGTAGCAAGTTATACCTGGTTGATGAAGCTCCAAATATGATATCTACCCTAATCGTCTTATTGAGTGATCCCGATTCATCTACTGTTACTGTAAGCTGAATTAGTTGTTAATATATTTACAGACCCTGTTGAGATTGAGTATATTATTTATAATTTAATTTTCTTAAGGTTGCTTTGGAAGCTTTGTCAAGGGTCATTATTTCAGTACCTAAGGAGGTACTCCCTTCGTATATAAAACTAGTTCGTGATGCTGTGTCCTCATCCCGAGACAAGGAACGAAGGAAGAAGAAGGTAGAGCTGTAATTTTTGGAAATTATTCCTTATTGTGGCATTCAAATATTGTTTTTTAAGTTCCTAATGGCCACTGAATGTTGCTAATGCTTGTGTTTTGTGTGATTGCTTTGCAGGGAGGACCAATTCTCATACCTGGATTTTGTCTTCCTAAAGCACTCCAGCCCATATTGCCAATTTTTCTCCAAGTACTTTTTCCTTACATTGAAATTTCTTCATTTTGTTTTGTATTAGCTTTTCATGTGTTCTACTTTAGTTACTTAGTGGTATGCACCAACAAGAAAATACGGAGTATTGAACTTTATTCAGTATGTTAATGGAAAAGAAGTTCTCTATCTGATTTGCAACTGATCTTTTTCTCAGTGATTACAATCATTACAATGAATAAAATTTTCAACATCGTATGAAAGGAACCAACGCAGTTTTAGGAGTGACTTGTCTGTCCCTCCCAAGTATTTAAATTCCGGCCAAACTTCTCATTTTTTTCTTATTTATGCCACCAGTCTCTTCTCCTACACAGATTCCCACCCTTCCCAATCACTATAGGCAGCTAGGAATTGGTTAAGACATGCTCTCTCCCTCTCAATTTTTATCTGGTGCAACACAGCTTTTATAATGCTCACGTGAGTGGCACCTTTTGGGTCTCCAATTGTATACCCAGCCAATAGTTCCCAAGAATTCTGACACTGTCATTATGTTCTTTGTCCAGTCATGTTTTTAACTTTTCCAAGTGAGTTACACAATGAAAACACCAATATTGGAGTCACTGTGCGCCAACATATCGTGTCCCTAAATGTTCTCCTAAGATCTGGAGTCACACACTCTTTCTATGTCCCCTGGTTTACAATCACAGCCTCCTCCGCATGTGATGGTTTGTTAAACCTCCTTTCCAGCTGATTCCTCCTCCGCTGGTGTCGACTCTTCTCTCCTCTCTGTTGTGGGAGAGAACGTGCTATGGAGTGAGTTTTTTGTCCTCTTTAACAGTTGTCTGAGTCGAGTGATCTCATTTAGCTGCGATTGACTTGATGTTCGTATCTCCTGAACACCATGCTCCAAATTTAAATTGTTCAGCTCCGAGCCATTATCTAACCTTTATATGGAAAACCTTCTCATGGATTTCTCATCAAGTTTAATAAATTATTTTTGCATTGGTTTGATGTCATTTGTGCTCAAAAAGGCATTTAATGAAAAACTGCTTTGATATCTATCATATAAGCATTGCGGTCTTAATGTTCCATTGCGTGATATACTTATTGTTGGAAGATTTATACATGAGATCATTCTGTTGAACTTTATGCTCTCAGGGTCTCATAAATGGGTCTTCCGAATTGAGAGAGCAGGCAGCATTGGGACTTGGTGAACTGATAGAGGTGGCCGGAGAAAAATCACTCAAGGAGGTTGTCATCCCAATAACAGGGTATGTGGTGGTATAAAATATTCATGTCTAAATCTCTATATTTTAACCAAACAAGGTCAAATGATTGAATTTTATCATTAATATAATATAATTATTATGAGTCAATTTGTTTCAAGATTATTTTATGGAAAACCTTTTTTTCAAGAAAATAACCATTTTTTAGGTTACATGTTTTAAGTTTTTGAAAATAATCAAGCTCTGATTATAATGAGAACCTAAAATAGAAATTATTTGATGGTAATGAGTGTGGTAGATTAAAGAAAATTTTTAAAGTGGCTTCTATGATTGTAAACAGATGTAAATTACCTTATGCTTTACATGATTTTGTTATACGTTTTAAAAATAACTTTCTTTAAATCTTTAACTAAACTGTCTGTCTGTATACATATCATCAGTGGTTGGTTTGACTGTTTTACACTTTATTTTTCATGCGATGTCATGAAAAATAATTTGATTATGATATTTTTGATATCTAGATTTTTTTATGGTAGAGGCCTAATCAAGCAATCTTCGTTGAGTCCAATTTTTTATAATTGTAAAATATGTTAAATTAATTTTGTTCTTTTTGTAACAACTTAAGCTGTTTGATTGTTTTGGTTTTATAGGGTAAAAGCAACTTTAACAAAAGAGCTTGAACTTGCTTTTCAATTCTTATCATTGTGTTTAATTTCACCTTAAATCATTATACGTAGCAGGCCTTCATGGTTCACGACCAAATGAGATGCAAGAAGTTATTATTTACTCTTTCTGGGATGTTTGATTTCTTATACATTCTGACTTTGCCAATCTCTTTTGTCACAGGCCTCTTATTCGTATTATAGGTGACCGTTTCCCATGGCAAGTGAAGAGTGCAATTTTGTCTACTCTGATTATCATGATTACAAGGGGTGGCATCTCTTTGAAACCTTTTCTTCCTCAACTGCAAACCACTTTTGTCAAGTGTCTACAGGATAATACAAGGTTAGTATGAGATGATGATTGATTTCCCCTTCATCTGTTCTCAGTCTAGCATTTGTTTTTCACTAAATTTAAAACAACTCACAGTGATATCCTTAAAGTTTGATTTATGTCGACTTGACCTCGGTTTGTTAAAGGAGTGTTTGAATGAGAGAGAGAACATGAATTCATTTTTGTATTGAGTGATAATATTATGTCTCGATTACAATGAATAGCCTCAGCAGCACAAGGGGCTGCCACGAGGTGCTTGTTTGAGACCATAGATGACATTATTGAGCTTGCATAATATATAGACTTATTAGGGTCTTCAAAACCTTGAGGTTGCAACCAATGACAACAAGTTTGGGAGGTAAAAGGAACAAGTGTGTATGTTATTCATATGTGGGGGGATATGCTGTGCAAATAAGTCTCATGTGTTGTTATTCATCTACAAATTTAATTTAATTTGGCTTAACTTGTATGCTTTGCCCATACAGTTATTGATGGTGTAGCAACATCTTGTATTGTTTGTACTTTTATTGTTGCTTATTAGGTATTATATTACTGCAGAACTATTCGTTCTAGTGCTGCCCTAGCCCTTGGGATGCTCAGTGGACTCAATGCCAGGGTTGACCCTTTAATTAGTGATTTGCTCTCCGGTCTGCAGGTAATTTTATTACTGTTATTCTAGTTTTTTACTTGTTTGAAGCATGCTGGGGAGAACGTGAGCTCTGCTTATGAGTCTCATATGTGCAAATGAGTCTCATACGTGCTGTTCTTCTGACTTAAGCTAATGGAATATTGCAAATCTTAAACATGTAATAATGCTGAACATTACTTATCCAATGCAAAATTGTTGGATTTTGAAATATTTTAGGGATCAGATGGTGGTGTCCGTGAAGCTATTTTGAGTGCTTTGAAAGGTGTATTGAAGCATGCTGGGAAGAACGTGAGCTCTGCTGTTATAAGTCGTATATACAGTGTTCTGAAAGATTTAATTCATCACGAGGACGATCGAGTTCGAATGTATGCTGCGAGTGTCTTGGGCATCTTGACGCAGGTTTGTAGATGGTCGAAGAAAATTGCATTTACAAACTGTTAAAACTAGAGAGGAAAAAGTTAAGTTTGTGATAGACTTAATTTTACTGAACTAATTAAGCATGCAAATATCAACCCATAATAGTCAGATAGGTACAATCCCAAGTTTGCTTTGCAAGATGTTATATAACAGAAACCTTTAGCTATTATTAAAACATTCTTAGAAATTGAATGTTTTAGAACAGCAAAGCAATATACATGCCTCAGATCTATTTACGATTTATGTACTTAAACGGCCATTTGTTACTCTTTAACTCTGTTTTGGTAGATACACATTTTTTGAGATGCGTTGATAATTGTTTCTTTATTATGTCATTACCATTGCTTTCATTTTATTATGAGATTACCATTACTAAAATTTTATTGTGTCATTACCATCAGTATCATTGTATGTATTCGTCATAATTTCTTAATTCTGCCCCATTGTTGGATTATGTCTAATTATTTTTGACTTATTTTCCTGTAATATTGCAGTACCTCGAAGCTGTTCAAATCACAGAGTTGATTCAGGAACTGTCAACTCTAGCTATTTCACCAAATTGGCCCCCTAGGCATGGCTCCATCCTTACAATCTCTTCCTTGCTCTATCACAACCCCGCATCAATTTTTTCATCTTCCCTGTTCCCAACTATTGTCGATTGCCTTAGAGACACATTGAAGGATGAGAAGGTGTGTTAATCTCGAACTACTATCTTGTTATATTGTATTATTTCTATTTTCTGACTTTCAATTTTCTGTATCACAGTTCCCTCTTCGTGAAAGTTCGACCAAGGCATTCGGAAGGCTTCTTCTTTATAAAGCTCAAGTATATCCTTCTGACACAGCGCTTTACAAAGATGTTCTTTCATTGCTAGTTACATCCACACGTGACGAGTCCAGTGAAGTTAGAAGAAGGGCATTATCTGCTATAAAGGCTGTTGCCAAAGTATGCACTCAAATAATCTTGCCTTGTGTAGAATATTATTGTTAAAATTTTATATTTCTCATTAATAAAACATTGCAGGCAAACCCTTCTGCCATTATGTCACATGGGACGGTTATTGGCCCTGCATTAGCAGAGTGTTTAAAAGATGCAAATACCCCAGTTAGACTTGCTGCAGAACGATGCGCTCTACATGCCTTCCAACTAACAAAGGGTACATCTGCCTGCATTTTTTATATGCTCGTTATCTTATTCTTACATTATTGCTGAGTAATGTTGATTATAAGTACGTTCTCACCATCTATTGACTAATGAAAAAGATGACAAATTACGTTCAATGTCTAACCTTGAAATCATAAATATAAAATAAGCAATCATAATCTATATAACCATTCATGTTTTTTTTCCCACCTACCACTTTTAGCAATATGCTCTAAACCATAGAGTAGTTCTCCTTTCTAGTTTGAGTGGATATGTTTTCTGAATAAAAATCCTTTGTTCAGTATGTTCGTGATTTCACCCCCACCAACCAACAGTTATGATAACCATTTCTTTCAGAACCAGAGTTGTTAATAGCGCCCGTAGCGGCCGCTATAGCGGCGCTCCAGAGCAGAGCGGAGGCCTGCCGCGCGCGCACAAGGGTGCGGTGGCGGAGAGAAGATAGCGGGCGCTATCGCCGCTATCCCGGGTCGCGGATAGCGGGCGCCTCCCGGGTGGAGCGGTTTGGGCCTGGTTTTTTTTTTATAATTTTTTTTTGGACAAAATTACTGTTTTATCCCTCTTTTAAAATACTTTTTAAAACAGATTTGCATTATATTTTCTTTCCTTCGTTTCACTTTCTCACTTTCTTCTTCTGCCCTAATTTTTGTGCCCTTCTTCTCCACTGTTCCACTTCCACCGTTCCAGTTCCAGCAAGGCAGCAACATACAACTGCAGTCTGCATCTTCTCTACCGTTCCAGGCTTCCAGCAAGGCAGCAACAGCACCATACACCGTTCCAACTAGTACATCTTCTCCAATCTCCACCGTTCCATCTTCTCCTACTTTTGTCTCACATCTCCGCCGTTCGCAAGCCCTCTTTTATAGATTATTATAATATAATTATTAGTATATAAAAGGTTATCCCGCTATCCGGGATCCCGCTATTCCCACTTTTCCCATTCCCGGGGGTCGGCCGCTCCGCTCCGCTATCTGGGATTAATAACTCTGTTCAGAACCTTAGCTTGCCTGAATATGTTTTGACTGACTAGAAATGGGATTATTGCACTATACTAGACCGACTAAAACAACATAGCTAGACTTTGTTTCCTTTCCTTTACTGGCCATTCTTGTACTTGCATGTCTACAAAAAAGGTTTATATACATACATCAATATATCTCTTCCTTTTATGAAAAGATCTCTACCTTAGCGACCAATAATTGAAATACATATATTGCTTCTTACTCTCTTATTTGGTATTGGGTTTTCCAGGTTTGGACAATGTTCAAGCAGTACAGAAGTATATCACTGGTTTGGATGCTAGACGTCTATCAAAGTTTCCTGAACATAGGTACTTATATTATCAAATATTTATTTTCATAAATGATCACTTTAGGAGAGAAATCTAGTTTATTTTATCATTTAAGAATCGGGGAACTCAAACAGGCCCTTTGGACTGCCAAGCTAGGCTGTCACCCACTGCACTAACTCCACAGGATATATTTCTGGGAAAATTATGCTCACCACTTCTAATGCTAGCATATATAATCTTTTGTTGAGTTTTGAAGAAATTCTATAACAAAATTAATTACCCGTTATCGTTATCATTATGACCCAAGTTTTGTTCAATGTATGAAATTATTAATGAATTTCTCTCATGGTTGCATTTCCTGCAATGCAGTGATGATAGTGGAGAGAGTGACGGAGATATGTCAACTAGCTAAGAAGTTTGTCAACTAGATAACAAACCATTGTCTTTGGATACAGAATATTCATGGATAACCAAATCTGTAGTGGCAGCATATTAAAGGCAAAAGTATAGATAGGTATACGCAATGTGAGGCTTTTTACCCAATTTTTTCTAGCTGGGTATTTGATTGTCAATATAATTGTAAATTTTATGGCGAATTTCTGTAGCTATACTTGCTGTTGTTAGTACAAATTAGTATTGTTCATTAGTCAATCGCGAGGCCTTTTTCCCGCAACTGTTTTCCCACTATTTCTGGATATGTTGTTCCATGCCCATTTACTTAACTCTGATGTGATCAATGTTTTCTAAACAAATTGAAATGGCCAGACCGCGTTAGTCATGATTCAATTGTTTGACAGTGTTGAACTGTTCAAATAAAAGTAGGTGACCATGTTTTATGGTTAAAGTGAATGAATAATCTGATTAGATTTGTTTCTTTGAAACATTAATTGAAATGTATTGAGAAGACTAAAGTGGGTTACTATCCTGCTCAATGAGCCGGGATTGCTTTTTCTACATTTTGTTGTACTTGAATACTTTCATCGAGTACTTTATTCCACTACTTCAAATAAATTATAACATTGTATATTATCATGCATACTTTTGTGAAGTTAACATATGAACTAATATAGAAAAATGTTAGTGTGATTTAATCGAATGTGTATATGAAAATTATACATTCTCAAATACATGAAAATAAATCTCCAATTTTACTGTTTTGAAAAAAAAAATCATTTTACCCGCTTTTATAAATAAAATTCTCCAATTTAATCTGGAAAGTATATGTTTGGAAAGTTAAGATTTAAGAAAAGAGAGAAAAGCACCAGAATTAAGTGACCTACTCTTCCCATAAAGAATTCCTTAAAAGTTTTTTCTAGTATATGAGCTTTTGAAACGATTCACACACAAACCTTTTTATATAAGGAGACCTTTTCAATCATCTGACAGTTTTTAAAAGTAGACTTAGCTCATAATCCATAGAGTTTGCTCTGCTGATGTCTATCAAATCAATCAGATGTTTTATTTGGTTTACTTCAACAACCAAATAAGGGGTTTTTCGTTTGGTTTAGCTCACAATTTTAAGAGGATTTCTCCCGGTCAGGATGTAAAAATATGTCCTTGCTCCCTACACCAGGCTAAACACCTCACAAATATGAAGATATTGCATGAGAAGTAAAATGTCATCTTAGAAAGAAAAATTCCTCTAAAGTAAAAAGATTTAAAAGTGTCAACATCCCTTGTACATTCAATAAAGATCTCATTGATTTGGATTCTAGTACAAGTGTGATGTCGTACAAACTTGGCTGTACGAATAAGTTAAAATTGATTCTCGCTAGAGGGACTTAGTGTCTTTTCGAGCGGGATTAGACTCAAGAATCACGTCTAAAAGGTGCGAGACTTAATTACAAGTATTGCATGTGGGTTTAATATAAGTCTCGCCAGAGATATCAAACACACCGCTTTAAGAATAGTGTCTCATTAGTGGACTATCAGCACATCAACAAGAGTGACCTGAGAAAGCTTTTTTGGGGAATCTTTTTAAGACTTCAGATTTCGTCCATCTTTGGAATCACTATTTTTGTTCTACTTGAATCACAAAATATAAAGTAAAGAGTAATTTGTAAATTCTTTTCAAAAACATTTTTATTATTAAGTCTTTTTGTTTTGAAAATTACTATTAATAATAAATGAAATCTTTACAAACATAATAAAATAAGAATTACAAAGAATTGGATAAAGGTTCAAACTGTATTAATAGAATGGTAGTCTGCGAATGGTGAGACTCTATGGATGATTAGAAAGTTTAGAAAATAGTAAATTTATGGGAAATATACATTGAAATACAATAACCACTATTATCCCTAACAACTTTGAACTCCTGAGCAGAGACTTCAGTTGAAGTGTGATGAGGATCCGATAAGATTGTTGCTTCAATGATCAAGTCTTGTCTGACGCGGTTATTTGCCAAGAAATTCTTAACTTTTGTCTAGGTTGTCCTCATGGATTTTCAACCTAGCGGGAAAATTTATTCTGTTTGTGTCTCTTACTTTTGCCTAGATCGTCCTTTTGGGTTTTCAGCCTACCGAGATGCTCTTTTTTGCCTAAGTCGCCCTTTTGGGTTTTCAATTTTGCGAGTTATTCTTTTATTTCTTTAGGCAAAGTATTTCTTGACTGTGTCAGTATTCATGGGACGTGGGAACTCCTCTTCATTCATAGTTTCAAGAATCATTGCACCTTCAGAGAAGGCTTTCTTGATAATATATATGCCTTCATAATTGAGAGTTCATTTTCCCCTAGAATCAGTGTTAAAACACATGATCTTTCTGAGAACGAGTCCGCCTTCTCTAAATTCACGAGGCTTGACCTTCTTATCAAAATATTCTTCATTCTTTTCTGATATAACTGACCATGACACAAAACTGTCATTCTCTTTTCTTTAATCAAATTCAACTGGTCAAACCTGTTCTGGACCCATCAGCCTCTGACAACTTGGTTTCCATTATCACACATAAAAAGGGAATCTCAACCTCGACGGAGAGCACTGCTTCCATACCATACACAAGAGAGAACGGGGTTGCCTCTGTTAAAGTGCGGACAAATATACGATACCCATGCAAAGCAATATGGACCATCTCATGCTAATTCTTATAGGTAACAACCATCTTTTGGATGATCTTCTTAATATTTTTGTTAGCATCTTCAACAACCCCATTCATCTTAGGCCTGTAAGGACATGGATTATGGTGGACAATCTTGAATTCTCCTTAAAGTTCTGTCATCATCTTGTTAATCAGATTTGAGCCGTTGTCAATGATAATCCTGCTTGGCACGCCATACCGATATATAAGATTGTTCTTGATAAAGCGTACTATCACCTGTTTGGTGCCGTTAGCATAAGAAGCTGCTTTCACCCACTTGGTGAAGTAATCAATTTCCACCAAGATGAAGCGATGTCCATTCGAAGCCTTGATTTCAATCATTCCGATCATGTCAATATCCCACATAGAAAAAGGTCACGGGGAAGAAATAATATTAAGAGGCGTTGGAGGCACATGAATCTTGTCAGAATGAATCTAACACTTATGACACTTCTTCGCAAATTTGTAACTGTCAGATTTCATTATCAGCCAATAGCAACCTTCCCTAAGTATCCTTTTTGCCATCGAATGTCCATTGGCATGGGTACCAAAGGAACCTTCATGGATCTCATGCATCAACATGTCTGCTTCATGTCTATCCATGCATCTGAGCAAGACTATGTCATAATTTCTTTTGTATAGCACATATTTGTTGAGGAAAAAGCTATCTGCTAACCTTCTCAATGTCTTTCTATCTTTATTCGACGCACCAACCATGTATTCCTGAGTGTGGAGAAAGTGCTTGATATTATAATACCAAGGTTTTTCGTCTGACATATCCTCTGTCGCAAACACATGAGCGGGGCTATCCAGATGTCGAACTGTGATTTGAGGTATATCGTTCCAAGCATTTAGTTGGTACATAGAAGCCAAAGTGGCAAAAGCATCTGCCATCTGATTGTCATCTCTGGGAATATGATGGAATTTAACTTTATTGAAGAAAGGTAATAATATTCTTGCATAATATTTGTATGGAATCAAGCCAACGTAACGAATATCCCATTCTCCTTTAATCTGATTTATTACCAAAGCTGAATCGCCATATACATCTAGAATTTTGATTCTGAGATCTATAGCCTCTTCAAGACCCATGATACAAGCTTTGTACTCTGTCATATTATTGGTACAATCAAATGCTAAACTTGTAGTAAAAGGGATATGTGACCCTTGGGGAGTGATAATGACAACACCAGTTCCTTTTTCATAAGCATTTACAGTTCCACCAAACACCATAGCCCATCGGGTTTCAGGATCAAGACCTTCCTCAGGTAAAGGTTCATCATAATCTTTTACTTTCAAATACATCACATCCTCGTCAGGGAAATCATATTTAACAAACTGGGAGTCATCAATTGGTTGGTGAGCAAGGTAATATGCCAACACATTGCTTTTTATAGCCTTTTGAGTACGATATTCAATATCATATTCAGACAAAAGTATCTGCCAACAGGAAATTCTTCCAGTAAGAGCGGACTTTTCAAAAATATACTTAATTGGATCCACTTTGGAAATCAACCAAGTGGTATGATTCAATATATATTGTCGTAATCGCTTTTCCGCCCAGGCCAAAGCACAACATATTTTTTCCAGCATAGAATACCGCGACTTACAATCAATAAACTTCTTGTTGTGATAATAAATGGCATATTCTTTTCTTCCCATTTCATCTTGTTGTCCCAAAATATAGCCCATAGAATTATCTAATATAGTCAGATACATAATCAATAGTCTTCCTTCAACAGGAGGGAGCAAGATATAAGGTTCAAGCAGATACTCTTTAATGCTTTCAAATTCCCTTTGATAATCCTCCCTCCATACACAACCTTGATCTTTATTTAACAACTTGAAGATCGGTTCACATGTTGCAGTCATATGGGAAACAAATATGGAGATGTAATTCAAATGTCCAAGGAAGCCTCTAACTTGATTTTCATTTCTTGGTGCAGGCATTTCTTGAATTGCTTTAACTTTATAAAGGTCGACTTCAATTCCTTTTTGGATGACAATGAAACCTAACAACTTTCCCGAACGAACACCAAAAGTACACTTATTTGGATTCAAGCTGAGAAGATATTTACTCAAACGCTGAAACAACTTTAACAAATCTTCTATATACCCTTCCTCAGTATGAGATTTGGAAATCATATCATCAACATATACCTCAATTTTCTTATGCATCAGATCATGGAATAAGGTTGTCATAGCCCTCTGGTACATTGCACCAGCGTTCTTCAACCCGAAGGGCATCGCTCTGTAACATAATGTTCCCCAAGTTGTGATAAACGTTGTTTTTTCCATGTCCTTAAGGGCCATCTTAATTTGATTGTATCCTAAA